GTCTCGGCTCGGACCTCCGTTATTTATTCTGTACTATTATCCAAAAGAATTCCCCGGAACGACTATACGCAGATGACAAACGGATTTCTTTTTTCTTTCAGGCCTGCATGTACTTGCTCAATATAAATCATCTCAACCATAAAAGCAGGTGTTGATTATACTCGTGGATGGAATCTTCAAACAGATTCCAAACTAAATAGATGGGGTATCTGTCAGAAGTCCTGTCATAAAGCCATCACTCGGTGCTAGAAATCTAGAAGTACTTTTTGACGAACGTTTGAATATGCGAACATTACAACATAATGTAAATCAATTACATACCACATTATAATATAACCAGCGCTTTGTAACTGCAAGGAAAAGGCGCTATATCAAATATCTTTGGACTGGATTGGATTCGGAAGAGTTTTGATCAGGACAGTATAAAAAACAATTGTTCATGCTTGCATCATTATTTTAAGTTTTTCATTAAAAAGAGTCTGGCTCTTAGGGTAATGGGAGTCACTTAATCCCAGAAAAAGATAGGCTTATATACATGAACAATTCTTTTTACAATTTAAACTCTTGTCTGCATAAGGAGCGACTATTCATTAAAATGCAGTAAGGGAAATTATTTTAGTCTCTGTTTCCTTCCTTTTGTTCTTTTCTTCCCCTTCCCACTGTCCTCCCCTTTCCAATTCATTTTTCACCTCTTTCTTCTTCTTCTTCAGAACTAACGTTTACTCTCTTTCTCTCTCTCTCTCTCTCTTTCTGTTTGTTTGTGGGGGGGGAGGGGATTTGGAGGGGGCTTCTAATTCCGCCACTCAGCGCAATGACACAAGAAAATAAACATAGGAAAAGTGGTCTCAATCTCCCATATTTTACCCCCCCCCCCCTTATTTAGGGTACGCGCATGCCTGTTCCCTCCCGTTGTAGGCACCCCCTATCTCAGGGCTGCCAACATTTCTGAACCCCCCTTCCGCGGGATTTTCCTGCGTTGGAGTTGCCCCCCCCCCCTCCCCTCTGAATGAAATAGCTATGATCCAATAAGCGGGACTTTGCGAACTTCTTGGCAAGGTGTTTTTACCTGCGATGCTGTCAGATTTATAGCCAGAGCCACTGCAAGAGAGGGTACGGAGTGCGTAGACGGAGGCCTGTTTAGCAACACCATATGTATTACCTGCAACAGTGCCGGCACAGTGGGTTCCATGTCCATTGCAATCTTGCCCCTAGAATAGAAGAATCATGGTGGCGATATGTTTATCTCAATTTATTAGATTATCTTATAAGCAATCGAGGCATAGGCGCCGGAAGCGAGGGGTGCAGGGGGGGGGGGACAACCCTCCCTCCTCAAAAAAAAACCGCGCCCCCACCCCTTCGAAAAAAATCAGGAGAAAAGGAGTAAAAAAAGGTTTGTATTTTTTAACCAAAAAAAAACAACAAATAATAAAGCATGAATTGAATCACATAAAAAGTAATTCCATTCAAAGAAAAGGAGAGTAAACAGGAATTAAAACATTCCTCATGCCCCTATATTTATGAATGGAGGATTTTATGCGATACGCGCATATCGTGGATATATTGTGAGAGGATGGGAAAGCGTGTGTGTTTTTTTAATTGTAGGGGTGAGAATACATGAGCCCTTGAACACTGGCGTACTGATGGGGGGGGGGGCAGTTGCCCTCCAAATAAATTTCAAACGTGGTTTAATTCTAATTCGGTATCGGTGATTTACAAATGTTACTGAAATGACATGATTTTCCGGTATTTTTTCTCAATTTCTTTTGTAAAATATTATTTGTTATGCGTTCGTTGGAAAATTACAAATTCTCAAATTTACAGTCAGGCAAAAATATGCTTTTTAAGAAGCCTTAATCATGTCAGGGCCTGCAGAACGGCGGGCTCGGGGGCTCGAGCCCCCTCATTTTTTGAAAAAGTATGTTTAAGAGAAAAAGAAAGGAAGAGAAAAAGAATTGAGGTATCAGAAGATGCTTCTCTGACCGTTATTTAATGCTTAAAACCCTTGAGCTTACGGGGGCTCCGCCCCCTGTACACCACCAAGGACCCTAAAGCGGAACACTGGATGCTCATCTGACCGAAATCAAATCAGTACTCTTTGTGCAAAACAGCTCGAGCCCTGACTATGGCCCTGACTACATAAGACTACTACTGCCACTACGACGATGACGACGAATACTACTACTATGTCTACTCCTTCTATTCCTATACAATTAAAACAAATACTGTGAACAGCATTAGGTTAAGATTAAAAAGGAATAGATAGGCCAACAGCAAAACAGTAAAAGAAAGAAATGAAAGAAATAACATGACCGTCGTCTACTAACATCTCCACCTATGAAGTCTGCAGCAACACTAGCACGGCTACCAAAGTCTTCATGGTCTGTATAGATACCAGAGTCGATTACGTAAACATGAGCTCCAGCACCAGTGCCTGCAAACAAGGTAAATAAAATTATATTTTTCTATCAAATTAAAATTGTCCCTGAAATAGTCAGTTATCATGATAAGATATTTTTGGGACATAAATATAAGAAAATCATGAACAAGCTAAAAACAAAACCCGATGAATGAAGCAAAATGAAAGATATCAATATACGTGAATTATACATCTTCATTACCATGCAAAATATAACAAAGATGGATAAAATAATACTTTGTATTCACATTGTTTTACATATTCATTTATGAACATGATTTTTATGCAAATAAATTGCATGTGTGTGGAGGGCGGAGGAGGAAGAAAGTAGAAGTAGAAGAAGAAGAAGAAGAAGAAGAAGAAGAAGAAGAAGAAGAAGAATACATATTATATTATATTTGACTAACCAGCGATGTTCATTTCCCCGTTGAGAGGGAGATCTCTCTGGTCGATGCGATCGAGACCCCATTCGACAGCGTCAGCTGTGATGATCTCATCTTCCTCTACATAGGCAACACCAGGCAGGGAACGCAACTGAAAGGTGACCATAATATTGTTCCTCAAAATCATGAACAGTCAATCCTGTCTATTAAGGCCACCCAATGGGAGACAGAAATAGTGGCCAGTGTAGACTGTACTTGGTTCTGATGTTCCTATTTTCATTAAATGAATAAAACTTTATATCATCATGATACAGTCAGAGGAACTAGAATATTACATTTTGGCATTTGGCAACAAAAAACATGTTAAAGTGCAATCGATGCAACATAAGCACACTTACTACTAACTTATGGAAACTAGCTAAAATATTAACGCTGTGATTATCTTAATCAAAAGAAAGGAAGGAAAAGATGAAAAGAAGAAAAAGAGGAACAACAAACAGGAAGAAGGATAAGGAGGAGGAGGAGGGGGGTAGGAGGAGGAGGAGGAGGAGGAGGGGAGGAGAAGAACAAGGAGGGAATAAGAACGAGAAGAAAGAGAGAACCATAAAAAATAGTAGAAGAAAGGGGAATATAAGAAGAAAGTAAAAAGGAAAGAAGGGGGTAGAGGCGGAAAAGAAATAGATAAAGACATAAATAATGACGAAGATGATGAAGAAGAGAAGTAGTAAAAAACAAAAAACAAAAACCAAAGGTATTCTTACAATATCAAGGCCTCCTTCGGGAACAACGGATACGAAGCATTGATGAGAGATATTTTCGATTTGATAGAAGCGAAGAGACCAGATGTAGCTACACGGGTCATTAAACGCTCTAAAGTTGCGTCGATATCTACACCATCCTGTGAAATGAATGGAATTTTCATGAATAAAAAGGATAAATAAGTGTTATCCATATATCTTTGCACATACATTGATCAGAATATGTCAAAACGCTAATAAATTGAGTAGAGTAACTAAATGACAATGGAAATCGATACAATCTCAGTTTCACAAAAAAACACAAACGTTTTCACCCAATTACACGATAAAGAAATGCTATTTATTCAGTTGCAGCCTCATTTAATAGGGTTAGTAAAAACATTCATTTTTTCAGTGAGAGGAAGAATTATGTTATACGAAACAATATTGCCCGACGGTGGATGGGAGGGGAAAGACAATTATTATGAGCAATAATAGCTAGCAACTGAATTTGAGCTGCCATAACATAGCAGCATTTGTGCCAACTATATGTTGGAATCCTTTGGAAACTTGTGCTGTGTCGTTTACTTTGATGTGTTCTTTGCTTATCTAGGCGTATGAAGGGTAATGTTCTGCAACTGTATTTATCGGCTTTGTATTCCTATCGCTTACGCATATTTGGGCTCCCTTTTTACTTACTCTGTAATAATTGTGTTTGAGAGTTAATCTTTTAGATAAAATATGTAAATCTAAATTCAACTGACTCATTAAAGTAGCTTCTTTTATTTTCTACTGCATCTTTTATAATTCAACCCACACAAAACCGCTTGAAAACTTGACATCAAAATTGTGAAGAATGTAGATAATATTGTT